CAGGCAGACTCTCAACCACTGCGCCCCCAGGGAAGCCCTTTTTTTTTTTTTTTAATTAGGGAAGGAGTTTAACTTTCGAGATATTTTCCATCATTCTTTGTTCCAAATAGTTTCTTAACAAATGATTCTGATAGGGTTGGCAAAAAATTATTTTCAGAGTAGATATTTTCTTTAATGCTTGAGACTCAAATGAAATTCAGAATGTATCCTATTTACTTACAAAGTGGCTTCAAGGTATCAGTTACTTCTTAGAGAAAAGAAAAGAAACAAAAACATACACACACACAAACCCCCAGCTGAGCTCTGGACAGCTAGTGAAACCGAGCATGGCCACGTCCAGCAGACCGTGTAATCCTCTAGACGCTCGGTCGAGTAGTTGCCTCAGTATCATGACAACTTCTATAGCCTATACAACTCGAGGAGTTTTCTACTCTGAAGGACCAATGGAAAATTCCACACTGCATTTCTACCAAGGCTGCTAAGCCCTGCCTGGGCAGTTTTGGGGGGACAAGTTCTTCCTGTGGCACAAACACTGCTGTCTGCCTTGAACTCCTTGCCCATCAGCCTCTAAAAGGAGCATGTACGTTCTCAGACCACTCCTGGAAAGGCTCGCACTGCACGGCGATTCAAGACTGAGAAATCTAAGGCCTCACTGGAAAAACAGGCTAAGATAGGCCAAGATTTTAAGTAAATCTCTGTAAGCCCTTATACGTAGATTTTATGTTCACTAAACTAAGATAATAAAGACAGCCTGCTACAGAGAGGATGGTTCTTTGCACATGTTACATTAGAGGTGTAATAAATTTACGTTTACCACTTTTCTACTCTCCAGCAAATTAGCAGCTCACTCTGTAGAAATTTTAAAAAGCTTATAAATTTGTCCTGCTTTGTTATATATAATATTTACAAAGAAGGTAATTTTTTTCCCTGTATTTGACAGAAAAAGTATTTCAGGCTTTCCTGATTTTATTTGAAGAGAGTGGCTCGGTTTCCTGGGTCCCAGAGATGATCTTAATCCAATGTTAGATCTCTCACCACTACAGGTTGCTGGAGGTCTCTTTCCTAACACTGTTCTGTAGAAGCTTCTACTCCTGCTCCTTAAACCACTCTGTATTACCTTCCTTTCCCCGTGCCTAATTCCCTTTTTTTCTGATTTTCCCAAGAGAAGTACGTTGAGTATACTAAAATTGAAATCTTCATGACTTGATAAAGGTGTACAGAAGCAAAGCCATATTTAAGACAATTCTGTTAAAGGGGAATTCAGGGTTGGGGAGGGATGATTATACCATATTATTAAAAATATTAGATACTAAAATAATCTTACTTAACGAACTGAAAGGAATAAGATGGTCACTGGGAATTATGGTCATTAATCCCCTTTTCCAAATGAATTCAAGTTAGAGTGTCCCAGGGGCAGACTCAGAATCAAGCCTCCATGTGTTTACTCCAGCTCTTGCCTGCCACCTACATACTCAAGGCCATTGCAATTAAGCATGTGTTCCATAAGAGAAAACTGTCCGGCCGATCAAGGTAGCCTCTAAAAATTAAGTAAATAAACATGGGAATAACAAATATTACCGTTTGGGGTTCTGGCTTCTGGGAACCCTTTCCTGGGATGCTCCTGTTGTTTTGTAACCTTCTTTCTCTTTCCTGTTTTAGTTCTAACTCAAGCTGGTTCCTGGGATAGGTGGGAGAGAAAAACGATGAAAATTTGGATTTCTGTACTCCTATCTTCTAAAGAATGCCAAACCCTTTTCTTAGAGTTCAGTAATTAAATTTTAATACTTGATTAATAAAAAGTATACCAGATATATATGGACAACCAGTTTTTAAAGTACTAAAATACAATACAATCAAACCAGTAACACTGAAATACATTCAACATGTTTAATCTTCCTTGGATGATTAAGAATGCACTTTCGGATCTCCCAGTGCCTGAGGGTCACGGCTCCGAATAGCAACATTTAATACTAACTCTTAATGAAAAGTTGTGGTCAACTGAATGACAACTAGTAGGATTTACTATAATTGAAAGACAGTATTTCTAAATTTTCAGCAAGATACAGTATGAAAGCACTAACTGTAGTCCCATTACATATGAATTAGCTGCTCTCTCTTCACAGTTAATGTAGTTAATCCCCAGTTACACCCTCAACCACTAGTATCCTTAGTAACTGTGTGCTTTTACATCCAACAGCAAAGTTCTATTTGTTTGAAGTCAGTGCCTTAGGTACAGAGTTGAGTCTCATTTGAGAGACAGTATGGAAGAATGGTTAAGGGCTTGGAGTCAGGGAAATTGGCTTTTAAATTAGTGTTGCTACCTATTAGCTTAACTGTGGGAATTTGGACAGTTTAACCCCACTGAGCCTCAATTTCCTCTGAAGGTGGGGGTAATAAGATCACCTACAAATAGGGTCGATGGGAAGATGTTAGGAGAGAATGCATATGAAGTGCTTAGTAAAGTATTTGGCACACAGTAAGAATTCAGGAAATCCTGTTATTATTAGTGTTGTGTTGGCTCTTAATTCTCTTACTCCATCCTATTTACCTGGGATCTTGGGTTCTAATTTCCTAATTCTTTGATGGCAAAAGATGTTGACGAGATTTTGGGAATGCTTATGTATGTGAAGCTTTCTGAATTCTAATTCTGGAGAAAGGACATGGCAGGACAAAACAGACATGGCTTGATCAGGAGACCGCCCCTCTCTTGCTGTCTGGCCTTAGTACTTCCCATGACCACCCTGGCCGCTAAAGCCACCCATTCTTCACCGCTGCCTGGTGAGTTCCTCCACTTCCAGCTGCAGACTGTTGATCTTGTCTCCGAAGTCCTGCTTGAAGAGCCGGTTGTCCAATTCAGCAGACTGGCGGCCTCGCTCAGCCTGGCGCAATCTGGATGTGAGCCATATGAACTTGTGATAAAAAACACAAGCCACGGTGGGGAGGAAGACCAAGTTCAAAACACAAAATAAAACAACCCAAGGGCATGAAGAGACAGAGAGAGGAAAATAAACTTTGTAGGACATGGGAAGAAATTATGGGGGGAGAAAAGATGGAGAAGAAACAAATTCTTTAAAAAAAGCAAGATGAAGGTGAACCAGGCAGAGGAATAGTTGATTTTCCATTTTTTTTTATTCTAGTACTACAGTTTACAGCCATTAGATGATAAACAATAAAACATCACTTTTTAGAAAATCCATATCCAAAGCCAACCTCAAGTACATAGTAATTAAAGTTAAATCCACTTTTTTGTTTGTTTTTATTTCCTAATAGGTTTGGTACTTTATATTTCTGTTTTACACTCACTGGAACTTGCAAATGGGCAACTACCTTCTTATATGTGGAATTAGAACATTTTCCTGGTCCCTTCCCTAAACCACAAATTATATTAAATCACTGGACACTATACATCAACCTTTACCCAGGCTTCGGGTTTTTAACATAATGAAAAGCCTTTGGCTATCTCTTTCCTTTTCCATTTCTACCAACTGGTGTGTGACTAAGTGGACAAACAATTCAGCACTGGGCCTGCATAAGATTCCTGACCATATTCTCTGGAAGATTGTGCATGTTTTCTTCCAAATATCCTATAACTTTGCACCTATAAAGAAGCATGTTCTAAGGTGAAATATCTGGGGCTCTCTGTAATAGAATTTGGGAGCATGCTACTATGCTACTATGTATAGTCTTTAAAATGTTTTATTTTGGTGTTTGAGCACTCCTTCCAAATGCTCATAGAAAAGGCAACTCATCACCACAAAAGGTTGATGAAGAAGAGGTGCAAAATTATAAGAAATAAACTAAGTTCAAAAGTACAGGCTCGGGCTTCCCTGGTGGCGCAGTGGTTGACAGTCCGCCTGCCGATGCAGGGGACGCGGGTTCGTGCCCCGGTCCGGGAAGATCCCACATGCCGCGGAGCGGCTGGGCCAGTGAGCCGTGGCCGCTGGGCCTGCACGTCCGGAGCCCGTGCTCCGCAGCGGGAGAGGTCACAGCAATGAGAGGCCCGCGTATCACATTTAAAAAAAAAAAAAAAAAGTACAGGCTCTTCCATGAAGTTGGTCATAGGCTCTTTGACTTGACCTTGGTTCAAGTCTGCAAGGACCTATAAAAACACACATGAAATCTATCTTACTCTCTTAATTCTGTTTTTTTTCCAAGAAGACAGTAAAGAATTTCAAGAGCTGGGAGCAAAGGGGTTATCTTTGTCCCCACTTAAGCAGCTGAAATGCTGCAAATCTACTAGAATGAGAAAAAACAGAAAAACAAAAATTTTCCCAAGACTTTTTGAAGGAATAAAGGCTTACGTAACTAACACCTGTTACCCCAAATCAAAAGTCATTTTTAAAAAAAATCAAAGTATTTATAGGATTATTACAATGTAATGCCTAGGAAGGGTCAGATCTGTGGTCACTTAGAAAAAGAAGCCCTGCTGATTATTGTTTATGAATACCTACCGGGAACCTTTATTTTTAGACTAAATAATAATAATGAATGTAAGTTTATCATTTGTCTATTTCCTACTCTGAAATGGTTTTCTAATAGATTGTTATTCTCCTAGAAACTTAAGCAAATTCCCATCTGAACAAAAAGTAACAGAAACTCTTAAGTAAACGTTGCCAGCAAGGAACAAGAGGCAGGAAACCATCACTCATGTCTGTGCCTTGTTGTCTTTACTCCAAAAGGAAAAGCAGGCTAGATGTGAAAAACGTGGAGCGTATTTTTTTTTTTTTAATAGAAGAGATGTGTTTTTATTAAAATTGTTCTCTCTGAGCTACCTAAATAGGACGTGGAATTGCAGGAAAATGGCAGAGGTAGAAGATGACAGATATCAGGAGGGTTTTCCCAAGCTTCCACATTATTATGTTATCATAAGTTACCTAATCACTAACTTTATCTCTAAGACTTTAAAGAAATGTAAGGATGCTGCCCCCCACCAAAGTCACTAAGGCAAAATAGTTGCAAGCAATCTTGGTTACTGAGAGTAGAACTGTAGTGGAATACTAAGTACTTATCCTTGGCTTGGGGATTAAACCTAGATAACAAAAGTGAAAAGGGGTCATGGCCTAAGAGACACAGAACTACTTTAGAAGAGTCCAAGACCATGTGGCAGTCACCTCTAGTTCATTACATCGCAACGGCAGAACAGGCTCAATGACACGGACATCGCACCTAGAAACTGGTATTGTTGGGGACTGGACTGTAAAGGTATCAGTCATATATGTACAGAGCTTCAATTCCCTAGGATGTTTTTTAATGGTGTGTTTATTTATTGGTCAACTCAGAAGTAATTTCTCAAAGTTTATTTGGTATTTAATTGAGAACTTATACTCAGTTCTCTAACTCTGGGGAGAAAATAAAGAAGAAGAAAACACAGCCTATATATATCAAACTTTTTTTTTTTTAAAAAGTCCAGCAAATTCAGTGCTTGGTGACATTTTATATAGAATCAGAGCATAAATGCAATAACTTTCAGATTTCTTCCTTTTACAATTAAGCTGTGGTATCCCACTTGCGAGGTGACCAGCTGTAAAATGCCTAATGATGTTTTGGGATCAGTTTATTTGCTGCACTATTTAAGGTCTTTGCCTGTTTCACCAAATCCTTCTCACTGTATTAATACAATAAAAATAAAAATAAAAATGGGAGTGAAAGGGGAATGAGAAAATGAATAAATAGGAAAGACAAAAATAGCAAGAGAATAAGTCAGCTTAATAATACTTGAAGAGGTAAGTCATTATTTTAGTTCTGTCTGCTTTAAATGCCAAGCCAAAAATCCACTGAAAAATAATCTGACACATTTCAAAAACACAATTTATGAACACTAAAATTGATTTGTTAAATCATAAACATATAACTGCTATGAGCAAGCACTTAGATAACTTCCGAGATAGGCTGATACTTTTTCATTTCAAATCAGCCAAACCAGACTTTTCAAGCTTATTTATTAATTTGCAATTAACTTTTGTTTCAACAGTAATATGCAGTGCTGTTCAGGACCCACCCTGGTCAAGAGCCATCTGAATAAAAGAAGCCATCCATTCATCCTTTCATCCATGCATTTACTAAATGAATGCCTTGGACACTCAAGGCACTGTGACAGATCCAACAAGGGAACTTAAAGGATTAGTTAACTAACGTCAAGGAACTCACATTCTCATCAGAAGATACGTATATAAAGGTTTATAAGGTAGGACAAAGTCAGAAGTGCTATAAGCAGTATAATAGATAGGTATGGATATAAGGCTATGGGAATTCCAACTAGTACAAATTCGCAGTTTACTTTTAGCTGGGAAGGAGTGTTAGAGGAAGCTTTGGGTAGGTGGCATTGAAGCCTGAACATAAAAAATGTATCTGAAGAACAAGGAAGTGGGAAGACAAAGGGCATTTCTAATTGGTGAAACTATCAGGCAAGACATGGATGGGGAAAATGGGAAGCATGTCTAGTAAGTAGTTTAGTTTTGCTCAGGTGCAAGAAGGGTGATCGGTGTTAACAGGTAGCAACACAGGCTGGCAACGCTTAATGACCACGGGTGCCGCGGCACATTCAATCTTCAAGCCTTAGCCATTTCTCTTGGCAGCTGAGTCATCAGGAAGAACATGGTGGCTTCAGACAGAAAGAGAAAAGAGTAGCACAGGGAGAAGATGTACTCTGGGCAGATTGAATTGTAGGTACTGGTGGGAAATAACTGGTCAGGGGATGAAAATGCAAGACTGGTCTCCAGATTGAGGACAGAGCAGGAGACCGACAGATCTAAGAGGTGTGGGCGGGATGTGACAGTAGAAGCTATAGAACTATTCAGGAGAAAGCAGAGAGAAAAAGGAGGAGAGAGAGGAGGGAAAGGGGTTACAGTTATTAGAAGGGCCCTCAGTTCCCCTCCATCACCTAGCACCAAAGTCTTCAAAGACTTGAGTGATGAACAGTAACAGAATCACAAACAGATTTAAAAGTCCTTTCATCCTTGTAAGTATCCCTCCTCTAACACATGACACTAAAAGCGTTTTTAGTGACATCTTTAAAAAACACAAAATTTAACTGGTTTGCTTTCTACTTGCATGCCTGGTGTTAAGCTGGGAGATTCCCACATACTCTCTGCCAAATGCATAGCGCATTCTCTTCACGTCCAGGACTGAACACCCTAAGTGTTTCACTAAAGAAACCGCACTTTTACCTTTGTTCAAGTTGTTTAATGGTAGCAGCCATCTGATTAGTCTTCTCTTCCAAGCGACTGTTTAGTTCACTTTTCTGTTTTACTCCTAAGTCTGAACTCTGTTATGGAAAAGAATTATGAGTGATGTTTATATTTGCATATAACATAAAATCCTGAAACAAATCACACATACCTTTTGAACCTAATGGTAAGCGGGAACTAGAGAAATAGAAATGCTCATGTATTTGCATATCAGTTAATTACCAAATGTAGAAAAAGCAGGAAGCAACATTTAAGATTACTATTGTTATATGCAGTTTTGTCTCAAAAATCAACATTGGAAAGTACATCAATTTATCTATATAACTCAGTTGGCAAGTTAGGCTGGAGAGCAGAAATTATTTTATAGGATAAAAAAGACCCTCTTGTCCAGTTACAACATAAAAAGTGGCCATGACTTTCCAGAACAGTAATACAGGATCCTAGGATAGACTGATTCCTAAAGTGGTTTATTGGTAGCTAGCCTCAAAATGAGATGTGACTCTTTCTTCTTCTATTTAAAGTGTGATTCTAGAGAAGAAGAGGGGCAGAGGGAAGCCCTGGGATTTTAGAGAGCCAGTGAGCCTACCTGCAACTTAAAGGCAAGTTCATGCTTAAGAGCCCTGAGATCATCCAGCTGCTGCCGCAGAGACACCAGGGCATCCTGCTTCTCACAGACATCCTTCTCCAGCATCTTCATAGCCAGTTCCATCTCCTGTCTCATGCTGATCTGGATCTCCAGTTCTTTCTCAACATCCTGCCCCGAAAGGAAAACAAATTACTTATTCTCTCTTTCCTCAACTAAGTGCAAACCACAAAATTCCACAGGACAAGGTAGACCAAAACTCTCAGGTCTAAAGTCTGGCAAAACAGCTATAAGCTATCATTCAATACAGAGACATTAACAAAAAGAATAATAATAATTAGGATAATTACAGTACCATTTACTCAATAATTTACGAATCTGAAAAACTCCGTAGGCCAAACATAGTGCTATCTAATATGTCTAAAATACTTGAGTCACTTCATTAGATATTAAAACAGACAATTGATGTCACATCTTATTATAGAAATATATATTGTTACAGCAGCCAGCACAAAATGAAGCAGTTGGAATTCTCTTCATTTGGAGGCTGTTGACATTTTCGAGAGCCCAAGGAACCCAAAAGACACTTTGGGTCCCCAAGGTAACATCTCAGTTACGGGGAATGGTCAATACAGCTAACTGAGTTTTTTCTTTTTAAAAAAAATTTGTATTTCACATTGGAGTATAGTTGATTAACAGTGTTGTGTTGGTTTCAGGTGTACAGCAAAGTGATTCAGTTATACATATACACGTTATCCTTTTTCAAATTCTTCTCCCATTTAGGTTATTACAGAATATTGAGCAGTGTTCCCTGTGCTATACAGTAGGTCCATGTTGGTTATCTATTTTAAATATAGCGGCTAACTGAATTTTTCTATTCATTTATCATGAGACGTATTTTTGTTTCAACCATCATTACCACAACGTTATTTGGATGATCAGGGGTACAAAGACCTGAGGTTCTTCTGCATCCATGCTGTGCCCAGGGCACATTCAGAACCTTGCCTACTTGCTTGGTTTCTTTCTCTTTTAATGAACATTTATCTTAATGTGGTACGAGAATGTGGAAAATTTTATGTAAAATTTTTTCACTTGCCACTTAACTGAGGCACTCTTCTGTACATGGTTAGCATGACAGAAGACCAATCAGACTGCTTCTTAAAATGCTGACATACATTATTTCTAGGACCTTCCTTACGGAAAGTATTTTGAGATCAAATCCACAAACACATAGAAGGAAAATGATAAATATTTCAAGGATGTTAAATAACAGTGTTAAAGTAACATTATAAAATAACCTGAAATTCTGTCCTATACACTGTTTGTGATAACAAACTACAAATCAGATCACCCCTTATTTTTAGGCTTCTCCCTGCTGTTAAGAGACATTATTGGAGGGGGATTATTTGGTTGTCATACTATCTAAATTACAGGAAGAGTTAATGTACTAATACCACGAGTGTATTTAATATACTAATATTTGGATAAAATCTATTTAGGAGTATTAGTCCTTATTACGCATTCTTTTATATATGTGTGTATATATATATATATATATTTTTTTTAATTTCTAAAAATATCTTAAGACTAATACTGATGTACATTTTTCTGTTTATGTATAAGAACAAGAATAAATTAAGAAATAACAACTAAAAATAAAAGCGTACAATTCTAAATTAATGATTCTTAAGGAGAAGAGGAGCTGCCCAATCCAAGGAGACATATCTTTGCCGGGGTGAGGACTGAAGCAGGAGGGGAGATAGCATAGTTTAAAAATGTAGGTTCTGCAACTAAGCCCGTGCGCCACAACTACTGAAACCCGCGCACCTAGAGCCTGAGCACCGCCACGAAGAGTAGCCCCTGCTCGCAGCAACTAGAGAAAGCCCACGCACAGCAATGAAGACCCAACACAGCCAAAAATAAATAAGTAAATAAATTAATTAAGAAAAGAAAAAAGTAGGTTCTATATACCTAATGTTTTTGCAACACAAACTATAAAAGCAAAAATAAGTTGAAAATTAAAATAGGTAAAATTCCATTGGCTGTTGAGAATGCTCAGAAAAAGGACTGAGGAAGCAGTATAGGGAATATGGGTTAAAAGAATGAGAAACTATTTTATAGGATCCATAAAATTTGCTAGAACACTACTGATATTCCTTGATCTGTGAGGTAAAACCCCTAGGTAGGGGTTTTAATGTGTTCCTGAACTATCAGGACCTAAGCGAAATTTACCAGTCGTAGTTGTGTCTCCTCCTTTAAGTGCTTCCTTGCTTCACTCAGTGCTTGCCCTTCTGAAGTTCTGTCTGGTTTAGGGCCCTTGAAAAGATAAAATAGTACATATTTAAGGATTTAAAGAATTTATACAGTTAGTGGACACTAGCGCTGCTATTTAGTAAGGGAAATGATCATACCTAGACATGTATGATAATGAACGAAGACAACAAAGAAACTGAAGAAGCTTAGTAAGTATTCTTAAGCCAAACTGGGAATTTCTTTCCATTTTGTTTAAAGTCCTAAGATAGTTTACCAAACCAAGGGGTAGAAGTCTTAAAAAATCAGCCTCTGAAAACAAAATAGCATTTACTGTAAACTATAAATTGGGCCAAAGGTTCAAACAGGAAAGTAGTCCTACTCCAGAGATCTCACATCTGGTGTCTCCACCCATACAGAGAGATCAGAGCTAAACATGAGTAGCTCATCAGAAAATGCTGAGTAGTCACAGTTGTTTTTACAAAGTCCATGCATTAAAGGCAAACATATTATTCATGTCGGTCCCCACTCAGAGCCCAGGTGCTTACTCTTTAAAAACAATGTTAATAACTGGATTTCTGGATTCCTAGGTCACAGCAGGTTAAAAGCATTAGGATAAGGAGGGAGACCTTTCTAGAGAGAGTAATGCTAACAGCAGTAAGAAGCAATAGATGCCAGTGAAATAAAAAGCAGAAAAAACCACCCACAGTAATCTGGGAATATTTAAGCTCAGGAGCTAGAAGCTCTATCAATTTCAGTAGCCGACCCCCACCAAAGTAGCACCGTTATAACTCAGTACAGAATTGCCAATGTTGATAATTATGATATTCAGTCATCATAAAGGGCTAAATGTGTTCAATTACATCCTCCACTTAAGAAAGCTTAGAACTGTACAATATACAAAAGGTTTGTAAAATATCTGTTTAGACATATATAAAAAGTTTGGTATTGGGTTGGCCATAAAGGTCGTTTGGGCTTTTGCATAAGATGTTATGGAACCAACCCTATACTTTAAGGGATTGAGTTATCTAGAAAATTCATTTATATGATAACTCTTTCGCAGTGATATCAGATAAACACTTTTTACAAAACAGTAACATGGTCTAAAAATAATGGTATATTTAATATAGTAGAACACTTAAATACAGTACAAATCATTAGTATGTAAAAACAAGACATCGAATTAGACTGTTTACTGAAGTCTCTAAACAGATGTGGGTGACGGTGAAGCCAAGCAGTGTCTGTAGGAGAAGGGACATAACCCTCCCATAACCTTTGCCATTCACTCAATTGTGCCTGGAGCCTCAGTGAAAACGGTGCACTTAACATATGCAAATGCTCACAGCTACGAAGTGGTCCTCTGGAGGCAGCCCCCCGCCCCATGACACATGACATACTCTCTGGGAATATTTCATAAATCCAGTAAGATTAACCTTCCGATTAGATTCCAATATGTAGGAGCTTTCCTCTTTAACTCGTTCCATATCTTCTTGCAGGGTAATAATCCTGTTGTTTGCAACTGCAAGCTGTTGATAAAATTTTAAAAATAATCGTTATCTTTCTTTCACTAAACACAGGATAAAATAATTCATGATCTGCTAGGACATGATTTTCAGGCTTAGCTATTCTTAGAAGGAAAGAAAGCTATCTATAGCCCCATAAAAATGTTCTTATAGGGAACTTAGGAGAAATGTCTTTAAAGATAAAAATAAAAAATATCTCCTATTACTGCTTTTTGTGTAAACATTTTTTCAGTACCAAAATGTTATCTTACAATTATTTACCTCAAGGGTCTCCTCATGGATAACTTGTAATTATATTTAGTTATAAAATCTATTTCTGGACTTCCCTGCTGGCACAGTGGTTGAGAATCCGCCTGCCAATGCAAGGGACATGGGTTCGAGCCCTGGTCCAGGAAGAGACCACATGCCGCAGAGCAACTAAGCCCGTGCGCCACAACTGCTGAGCCTGCGCTCTAGAGCCCACGAGCCACAACTACTGAAGCCCACTCGCCTAGAGCCCGCGTTCCACAAAAAGAGAAGCCACTGCAATGAGAAGCCCACACACCACAACGAAGAGTAGCCACAACTAGAGAAAGCCCGCGCAAAGCAATGAACACCCATTGCAGCCAAAAAATAAAATAAAATAAACCTATTTCTTTTTTTTTAAACATCTTTATTGGAGTATAATTGCTTTAGAATGGTGTGTTAGTTTCTGCTTTAAAACAAAGCGAATCAGCTATACATATACATATATCCCCATATCTCCTCCCTCTTGCGTCTTCCTCCCCCCTCCCTATGCCACCGCTCTAGCTCATCACAGAGCACCGAGCTGATCTCCCTGTGCTATGCAGCCGCTTCCCACTAGCCATCTATTTTACATTTCGTAGTGTATACAAGTCCATGTCACTCTCTCACTTCGTCCCAGCTTACCCTTCCCCCTCCCCGTGTCCTCAAGTCCATTCTCTACAACTGTGTCTTTATTCCTGTCCTGCCCCTAGGTTCTTCAGAACCTTTTTCTTTTTTTTGATTCCATATATATGTGTTAGCATGTGGTATTTATTTTTCTCTTCCTGACTTACTTCACTCTGTATGACAGTCTCTAGGTCCATCCACCTCACTACAAATAACTCAGTTTCGTTTCTTTTTATGGCTGAGTAATATTCCATTGTATATACAGGCCACATCTTCTTTATGCATTCATCTGTTGATGGACACTTAGGTTGCTTCCATATCCTGGCTATTGTAAATAGAGCTGCAATGAACATTGTGGTACATGACTCTTTTTGAATTATGGTTTTCTCAGGGTATATGCCCAGGAGTGGGATTGCTGGGTTGTATGGTAGTTCTAATTTTAGTTTTTTAAGGAACCTCCATACTGTTCTCCATAATGGCTGTATCAACTTACATTCCCACCAACAGTGCAAGAGGGTTCCCTTTTCTCCACACCCTCTCTAGCCTTTATTCTTTGTAGATTTTTTGAGGATGGCCATTCTGACTGGTGTGAGGGTGATACCTCCTTGTAGTTTTGATTTGCATTTCTCTAATGATTAGTGATGCTGAGCATCTTTTCATGTGTTTGTTGGCAATCTGTATATCTTCTTTGGAGAAATGTCTATGTAGGTCGTCTGCCCATTTTTGGATTGGGTTGTTTGTTTATTTAGATATTGAGCTGCATGACCTGCTTGTATATTTTAGAGATTAATCCTTTGCCAGTTGCTTCATTTGCAAATATTTTCTCCCATTCTGAGGGCTGTCTTCTCATCCCGTTTATGGTTTCCTTTGCTGTGCAAAAGCTTTTAAGTTTCATTAGGTCCCAACTGTTTATTTTTGTTTTTATTTCCATTTCTCTAGGAGGTGGGTCAAAACGGATCTTACTGTGATGTATGTCACAGAGTGTTCTGCCTATGTTTTCCTCTAAGAGTTTTTTTTTTTTGCGGTACGCGGGCCTCTCACTGTTGTGGCCTCTCCCGCTGCGGAGCACAGGCTCCGGACGCGCAGGCTCAGTGGCCAAGGCTCACGGGCCCAGCCGCTCCACAGCATGTGGGATCCTCCCGGACCAGGGCACGAACCCGTGTCCCCTGCATCGGCAGGCGGACTCTCAACCACTGCGCCACCAGGGAAGCCCTCCTCTAAGAGTTTTATAGATTTATAGTCTGTCTGGCCTTACATTTAGGTCTTTAATCCATTTTGAGTTTAGTTTTGTGTGTGGTGTTAGGGAGTGTTCTAATTTCATTCTTTTACATGTAGCTGTCCAGTTTTCCCAGCACCACTTATTGAAGAGGCTGTCTTTTCTCCATTGTATATTCTTACCTCCTTTATCAAAAGTAAGGTGACCATATGTGGGTGGGATTATCTCTGGGCTTTCTCTCCAGTTCCATTGATCTATATTTCCATTTTTGTGCCAGTACCATACCGTCTTGATGACTGTAGCACTGTCGTATAGTCTGAAGTCAGGGAGCCTGATTTCTCCAGCTCCGTTTTTCTATCTCAAGGTTGCTTTGGCTATTCGGGGTCTTTTGTGTTTCCATACAAATTGTGAAATTTTTTGTTCTAGTTCTGTGAAAAATGCCAGTGGTAGTTTGAGAGGGATTGCATTGAATCTGTAGATTGCTTTGGGTTGTATAGTCATTTTCACAATGTTGATTCTTCCAACCCAAGAACATGGTATATCTCTCCATCTGTTTGTATCATCTTTAATGTCTTTCATCAGTGTCTTATAGTTTTCTGCATATAGGTCTTTTCTCCTTTGGTAGGTTTTTTCATAGGTATTTTATTCTTTTTGTTGCAGTGGTAAATGGGAGGGTTTCTTTAATTTCTCTTTCAGATTTTTCATCATTAGTGTATAGGAATGCAAGAGATTTCTGTGCATTAATTTTATATCCCTCTACTTTACCAAATTCATTGATTAGCTCTAGTAGTTTTCCGGTAGCATAATCGTTAGGATTCTCTATGTATAGTATCATGTCATCTGCAAACAGTGACAGCTTTACTTCTTCTTTTCCGATTTGGATTCCTTTTATTTCTTTTCCTTCTCTGATTGCTGTGGCTAAAACTTCCAAAACTATGTTGAATAATAGTGGTGAGAGTGGACAACCTTGTCTTGTTCCTGATCTTAGAGGAAATGGTTTCAGTTTTTCACCACTGAGAATGTTGGCTGTGGGTTTTTCATATATGGCCTTTATTATGTTGAGGTAAGTAAGTTCCCTCTATGCCTACTTTCTGGAGGGTTTTTATCATAAATTGGTGTTGAATTTTGTTGAAAGCTTTTTCTGCATCTATTGAGATGATCGTATGGGTTTTATCCTTCAATTTGTTAATACGGTTTATCACATTGATTTGCGTATACTGCAGAATCCTTGCATTCCTGGCATAAACCCCACTTGATCATGGTGTATGATCCTTTTAATGTGCTGTTGGATTCTGTTTGCTAGTATTTTGTTGAGGATTTTTGCATCTATGTTCATCAGTGATATTGGCCTGTAGTTTTCTTTCTTTGTGACCTCTTTGCCTGGTTTTAGTATCAGGGTGATGGTGGCCTTGTAGAATGAGTTTGGGAGTGTTCCAACCTCTGCTATATTTTGGAAGATTTTGAGAAGGATAGCTGTTAGCTCTTCTCTAAATGTTTGATAGAATTCGCCTGTGAAGCCATCTGTTCCTGGGCTTTTGTTTGGTGGAAGATTTTTAATCACAGTCTCAATTTCAGTGCTTGTGACTGGTCTGTTTATATTTTCTATTTCGTCCTGGTTCAGTCTTCGAAGGTTGTGCTTTTCTAAGAATTTGTGCATTTCTTCCAGGTTGTCCACTTTATTGGCATATAGTTGCCTGTAGTAATCTCTCATGATCCTTTGTATTTCTGCAGTGTCAGCTGTTACTTCTCCTTTTTCATTTCTAATTCTATTGATTTGAGTCTTCTCCCTTTTTTTTCTTGATGAGTCTGGCTAATGGTTTATCACTTTTGTTTATCTCCTCAGATAACCAGCTTTTAGTTTCATTGACCTTTGCTACTGTTTCCTTCATTTCTTTTTCATATATTTCTGATCTGATCTTTATGATTTCTTTCCTTCTGCTAACTTTGGGGTTTTTTTGTTCTTCTTTCTCTAATTGCTTTAGGTGTAAGGTTAGGTTGTTCATTTGAGACGTTTCTTGTTTCTTGAGGTAGGACTGTATTGCTATAAACTTCCCTCCTAGAAATGCTTTTGCTGCACCCCCAGAGGTTTGGGGTCATCTTGTTTTCATTGTCATTTGTTTCTAGGTATTTTTTATTTCCTCTTTGATTTCTTCAATGATCTCTTGTTTATTAAGTAGTATACTGTTTAGCCTCCATGTGTTTGTATTTTTTATAGATTTTTTCCTGTAATTTATATCTAGCTTCATAGCATTGTGGTTGGAAAAGATACTTGATAGAATTTCAATTTTCTTAAATTTAAATTTACCAAGGCTTGTTTTGTGACCCAAGATATGATCTATCCTGGAGAATGTTTCATGAGCACTTGAGAAAAAAGTGTATTCTGTTGTTTTGGGATGGAATGTCCTATAAATATCAATTAAGGCCATCTTGTTTAATGTATCATTTAAAGCTTGCGTTTCCTTATTTATTTTCATTTTGGATGATCTGTCCATTGGTGAAAGCGGGGTGTTAAAGTCCCCTACTATGACTGTGACTGTTACTGTTGATTTCCCCCTTTATGGCTGATAGCATTTGTCTTATATATTGAGGTCCTCCTATGTTGGGTGTATAAATATTTACAATTGTTATATCTTCTTCCTGGATTGATCCCTTGATCATTATGTAGTGTGCTTGTCTCTTGTAATAGTCTTTATTTTAAAGTCTACTTTGTCTGACATGAGAATGGCTACCCCAGCTTTCTTTTGATTTCCATTTGCGTGGAATATCTTTTTCCATCCCCTCACTTTCAGTCTGTATGTGTCCCTAGGTCTGAAGTGGGTTTCTTGTAGACACGACATATACGGGTCTTGTTTTTGTATCCATTCAGCCAGTCTATGTCTTTTGGTGGGAGCATTTAATCCATTTACATTTAAGGTAATTATTGATATGTATGTTCCTATTACCATTTTCTTAATTATTTGGGGTTTGCTATTGTAGGTCTTTTCCTTCTCTTGTGTTTCCTGCCTAGAGAAGTTCCTTTAGCATTTGTTGTAAAGCTGGTTTGGTGGTGCTGAATTCTCTTAGCTTTTGCTTGTCTGTAAAGGTTTTAATTTCTCCACTGAATCTGAATGAGATCCTTGCTGGGTAGAGAAATCTTGTTTGTAGGTTCTTCCCTTTCATCACTTTAAATATGTCTTGCCACTCCCTTCTGGCTTGCAGAGTTTCTGCTGAAAGATCAGCTGTTAAACTTATGGGGATTCCCCTGTATGTTATTTGTTGTTTTTCCCTTGTTGCTTTTAATATTTGTTCTTTGTATTTAATTTTTGATAGTTTGATTAATATGTGTCTTGGCGTGTTTCTCCTTGGATTTATCCTGTATGGGACTCTCTGTGCTTCCTAGACTTGATTGACTAGTTCCTTTCCCATATTAGGGAAGTTTTCAACTATAATCTCTTCACATATTTTCTTCTTCTCTTCTTCTTCTGGGACTCCTGTAATTCAAATGTTGGTGCGTTTAATGTTGTCCCAGAGGTCTCTAAGACTGTCCTCAGTTCTTTTCATTCTTTCTTCTTTCTTCTGCTCTGCAGTAGTTATTTCCACTATTTTACCTTCCAGGTCACTTATCGGCTCTTCTGCCTCAGTTATTCTACTTTTGATTCTTTCTAGAGAATTTTTAATTTCACTTATTGTGCTGTTCATCATTGTTTGTTTGCTCTTTAGTTCTTCTAGGTCCTTGTTAAACGTTTCTTATATTTTCTCCATTCTATTTCCAAGATTTTGGATCACCTTTACTATCATTACTGTGAGTTCTTTTTCAGGTAGAATGCCTATTTTCTCTTCATTTGTTTGGTCTGGTGGGTTTTTCCTTGTTCCTTCATCTGCTGTGTGTTTCTCTGTCTTCTTATTTTGCTTAACTTACTGTGTTTGGGGTCTCCTTTTTGCAGGCTGCAGGTTCGTACTTCCCATTGTTTTTGGTGTCTGCCCCCAGTGGCTGCGGGTGGTTCAGTGGGTTGTGTAGGCTTCCCAGTGGAGGGGACTAGTGCCTGTGTTCTGGTGGATGAGGCTGGATCTTGTCTTTCTGGTGGGCAGGTCCGTGTCTGGTGGTGTGTTTTGGGCTGTCTGTGACCTTACTGTGATTTTAGGCAGCCTCTCTGCTAATGGGTGGGGTTGTGTTCCTGTCTTGCTAGTTGCTTGGCATAGGGTGTCCAGCACTGTAGCTTGCTGGTTGTTGAGTGGAGCTGTGTCTTAGCGTTGAGATGGAGATCTCTGGGACAGCTTTCGATATGTGATATTGCGTGGAGCTGGGAGGTCTCCGGTGGATAATGTCCTGAACTTGGCTCTCCCGCCTCAGAGGCACAGGCCTGACACCTGGCCGGAGTACCAAGACCCTGTCAGCCACATGGGTTTTGGGAAGTCTGAGGTCTTCTGCCAGCGTTCAGTAGGTGTTCTGTAGGAGTTGTTCCACATGTAGATGTATTTCTGATGTATTTGTGGGGAGGGAGGTGATCTCCACATCTTACTCCTCCAGCATCTTGAAGGTCTCCTGAAAAAAACCTATTTCTAAAATGTATAAGAGGTCACCTCATGCCTTGGGACCCATCTTACAAACCCTCCATAAAACCTTTAACAGGTAATTTTTTTTTTAAATGTTCAGTTTTCTTTTTAAAGATTTATTATTTATTTATGTATTTAGTTTATTGTAGGCTGCGTTGGGTCTTACTTATGGCATGAGGGATCTTTCATTGTGGCGTGCGGGCTCTTCGTTGTAGTGTGTGGGTTTCTCTTCTTTAGCTGTGGCACCCAGGCTCCAGAGCGTGTGGGCTCTGTAGTTTTTGCGGCACGTGGGCTCTAGTTGAGGAACGCACGCTTAGCTGTCCCACGGCCTGTGGGATCTTAGATCCCTGCTCAGGGATCAAAGCTGCATTCCCTGCATTGTACGGTGGATTCTTTACCACTGGACCACCAGGGAAGTCCCTACATATAATTTTTAAGAGAGTAAGAAATGAATTCCAAAGTTCTCATTCTAAAAGATGCCATTAAGCGTTAAAGAGATTTTTCTTTTCAGCACCTACAAAGACAAGGTAATGTTATTGGCAGTGTATCTCTAGAGGAAATGTTTATAACTCTATTCCACTGGAGGGAAGAGTACGGTGGAAACGCTCTCCTCTGCACCTACCGAGCTCAGTTCCCACAGAGAGTGGGAAGGTGCCTGAAGGAGGCTAGGAAAGGAACTGGACAGACTCCTCTCAGCCAGGCTAGTCTCCCTTTTCATCATCTCTGCTTGGTTCCTGTTCTACTATGTAAGTACAGAGGAGCCAGGCTCAGACAAGCTTTCTAGAGGCAGGTATGACAGCCCATTTCTCTCTCTCCTCCGTGGGCCTAAAATGTGTAAAGAAGTAACTCTGGGCAAGCGGGTCTGCTCTCTAGATCCAAGCGCACCTCGGACTGCTTCTTCCAAGGTCTCATCATCAGAGAAAATGTTACGAGTGACGACTGCAGATCCAAGTGCACTTTCTAAGTCAGCTTTACCAACATAAAGTGGATGTTTATTTACCTTCATCTGCTCAGTTCTTCTCATTTTGTCATATTGGTTCAGAACTCAGGAGGGGAAAAGAGGTCTTTTTTGTTTTGTTTTGTTTTTTACTGGTCCCTTTAAATCCAAAATAGATGGAAATGAGAGAGGGCAGAACTTATTAGCCTTGTCTGCTCTTTATAAAGTCTACACACAGTGCTTTCCTATCTCTAAAAGTTCAAAGCTTTAAGAAAATAAATCTTACTGGTAAGATAAACAAGTAAACGAATAAATTAATATTGTTGGTAAGATAAATTTAGGCCAAGAACACAAGTCCTGTGACTGAGGGAATAAAATTTGTATTTACTGAGTGCTTATGATGTGTCAGGCACTAGTCTAGGCCCTTATGCATTAAATCATTTAATTTGCACAAAAGTCTTCTTCTTCTCCCCATTTTACAGATAAGTAAACCAAAGAACAGGAGCTCAAGTAACTGGCCCATGATCAGAAAGCTAGCAAGCGCCAGACCTGGGACACAAATTCAAGAAGTCTAGCTCTGGAGAGCATGCTTAATTAATATACCACACTGCCTCAATATAACAGCAGTAGAATCACAGTAGAAAATTGCTCTGCAGAATGTTTCCAAAGCCTTGTGGGATAAAATTCTAAGGGTCATATCAATAAATTAAAGTTTTAATATAATTTAAGAATCTACATCCAAAAATAAAGCCCCCAGAACTGAGTAATATGGAAGGTGTTTTCAAGTTATAACAATGAACAATGATTTCTTCCTTCTGAAAAAAATCCGATTAGATAGCGTTTCCTGACTAGTGCTTTAACTTGCTTATTTTAGACCAAAATTTTTTTTGAAGTATAGATGATTTACAATATTATATTAGTTTCAGGTATACAACACAGTGATTCAATATTTTTATAGATTATACTTTATATATATAAAGTCTATATATAAAATATGTAGATTATATACTTTAATATATTATAACCTAAAAGTTTTTAAAAAATATTGGCTATATCCCCTACACTATCCAATATATTCTTGTAGCTTATTTATTTTATACATAATAATTTGTACCTCTTAATCCCCTACCCCTATCTTGCCCCTCCCCACTGTTAACCACTAGTTTGTTCTCTATATCTGTGAGTCTGTTTCTGTTTTGTTTTATATTCATTTGTTTGTTTCATTTTTTAGATTCCACATTTAAATAAGATACAGTATTTGTCTTTCTCTCTCAGATTTATTTCACTAAGCACAATACCCTCCAGGTCCATCTATGTTGTTGTATTTAACCAAATTTTTCTCACTGTATGTAATAGGATAGTTATAATTTGAAAAAGGGAAGATAAAGTCTTTGCCACCTAAAAAATTTTATTTAAGGTTTCTCATAGAAACGTCTAATGCTACTGAAGAAAAAAAATATGTCGCTTAGCCTTTGGTAAGTTAGGGGAAAAAAATTAATCAGAAGTAAAATGTGAGGTTATTTTTCTATTCTAATTTTAGGGACTTTTCTAAGAGTTTTCACATGTATATTCTTACTTGATCTTCAGGGTAATTGTGAGCTAAAAGGGGAAACACTCTAATTTGCCAGTTAGGGAACTGGGCCTCTTGGAAGTCAAGTGACTTACTTGCTCAGGAGCACATGACATGTAAACAGGAATTACTGCTACACCAAGCACTCTTCTAACTGATTTTACTGCATTACTTCATTACTCCTTTCAACAACCCCATGTGCTAGGTATGGAGTTATTATTATAGATAAAGAAATGGAGGCAATGAAAGAGTAAATAATAGGGTCATATTTGTATTTCATTGTCAACTGCCACCACATCTTTGCTAGGCTAACATCCCCACAGTTTACTGTTAGTTCATTATTAGTACTGGTCTCCTGACCCGTGTTCTTTATGTCATCTACCCCATCACCCCAAGGAGAAAATAAAACCCTTGAAGGCAGGAACTTGCCAATCTGGCACACATAAATCAATGCCTGGCAGATATAAATCTTTGTCTAGCTCTGGTACATACGTAGTACCCCAATTGTTTGATGAATGAATAAATGATGAATATCACGCTACCTGCTAAACATTAACTCTAGGCTAGCCCAGAGAAAACATTCACAGAAGAAAGCAAAATATTTGATCAGCCCAGGTTCTATGACTTCATATTCCAACTGGATAACTGAGACCCCTCAGATAAGCCAGCTGGCCATTCCTGGTCAGAACAAGGAGTCCTATAGTAGATATTATCTGAAAAGTCAAGTCGTTTATTTCCAAGCTCCAGAGAAATTATTTTCCACTAATGCACTCTACTAAATTCTATAAGTCAATCAAAAAACTTCCAAAACACTTACCTCCTCTGTCAGTTTAGTGTTGGATTTTTCTAATGCATCCACTTTTGCCTGAAGGTTGTTTACAGTAGCACTATCAACAGAAGAAAAAACATAATAGTCTCTTTTGATAAACAGAGCAATATCCTGTACTTTCTTTTAAAATACTCATTATACTTTCATTGTTTACTGTCCATAATTCTTAACAGACTTGTAGGCTCTAAGACAGCTTACAAGGTGACGTGCGTCTCACCTGCTACATTCTTGGCACTGAAGTTTGTATTTAATAAGCATTTGTTGATGAAATAAAAGAGTTGATACACTACACAGTAAACTTTACTTAAATAATAATAGTAGTAATAGTAATAATAATAACGGGCTACATGAATTATGATGTGCTTGCCATACACCAAGCACTCTTCTAACTGATTTTACTTGCATTATTTCATTACTCCTTTCAACAACCCCATGTGCTAGGTAGCGGGTTGTTATTATAGATAAAGAAATGGAGGCATTGAAAGAGTAAATAATAGGGTCATATTTGTATTTCATTGTCAACTGTAACCACATCTTTGCTAGGCTAACATCTCCACAGTTTACTGTCAGTTCATTATTAGTACTCAGTCCCCAGAGAAAATGTACTTAAATTGTTCTTGAGTTTTCTAGATGGAACCAAGACTATAATTTATATTGATACTGGTATAGTCACATTTTAGGTCTTACTTAAATTAAAATAATTATCTTTCATAAGAGAACTATAAATAAGGTAATTAATGGGTATATTAATTCTTCTGAATTATTCAACAGTTTTTAGACCATCAGTACACTTGAGAATACCAGTAAATTTTGGATAGCTCTCCTCAGGAAAGAAGAGATTGTTTTATAACCTGGTCATGAAAAATTCTTGGTGAGTACTTGGTAAATTAATGGTAGTGATGGTGGAAAAAGGGTAAATTAATACTATCAATCCAATGTATGAGAAATGCAAGGGACCAACGAGATACAATTAAAGGTACTAAAGTGATGAGAGTGCTTTACCCAAGATTTAGTCCTGAAATATGTGGCTGGATCTACCGAACCAAGAAGACCTCCAATTTCAACTATGTCACAAATTTAAGAGTTCTTAACTGAATATATTTACACAATCGCTAAAATTCTAATTACATACTAATCTTATATTGCTTTTCATTAAAGCTCACGCAACAGTCAAATGCCACGTATCCAGTGTCTAGCTCAGTGCCTGGTAAGCAGTAATTCTATATATATTTGTTGAGTATTGTCTGAATTTATCCTAACTGCTCATCAGTTTACCTTTCCCTTCCCCCACACCAAAACCCCCAGTAAAGTAATAGTATTTATTCATTCTTTACTTCAGATGTCTGTTGAGTTCTTCTACATAGTTCTTCTGATCCAGAATTGCAGTAATCTGGCCATCTCTGAGGGGAAAAAAAAAAAAATAGAAAAAAAGTTAATAATATTAGAAATACCAAGATGCCCCACCCCCAATCTTTTCATAAAACATAGAAAGGAAATTATGGCACAGACACACTGAATCAGAAGACAGACCTGATGTATAATCCCCTTGGCATATCAACAAGAGACTTGGAGGTTTAAAATGGAAACCACCCCTGCATATTAATAAAGCTCTTGCAATAGCCTATATATCTTAATAACTTAGGTTATAGGTATAATGTACAATCTATTAGAGGCATTTAAAGAATACAAAGTTTCTTCTCGCAATTGATAGATTTTTATTTTAGCTTTGTTAGTATTATTTATCATAACAATTTTCCATTTGTCATAGGAATTGAATTAAGCTTATTCGGGTGAAATAATTATTGTTCTCAAAGGCTATATATTTATTTGCCTTTAACTGCTGTTTGGCTTCAAAGTGAATGGTATAAAAGGTTTTCACAAACATCAGGCGTTTATTATTACATGAGTAAATTAAGTGTGGAAAAAGAAGGTTCACTTCTGGGACCAGCTAATCTAGAATAGGCAAAAGTTAAACAGACAGACTTTTCAAGTGAAAAACAAAATTCAAGGCCACAGACCTCTATGACTACTAAAAGGACAAGCAATATAATCTTAGCTCAATGCCTAAGGTTAAAAACTTCAGACTAATTATGCTTTCAACTGCTAAATTTATAAAGGTAAAAGGTGAGTTTCTGATCGCTAATTTCCAAGTACCATATGAATATTTTAAAAACTTTTAATTTTGAAATTATTTTAGATTTACAGAAGTTGTAAAAGTAGTGCCCAGTTCCCATATACTCAGCTCCCCCTAATATTAGCATTTTACATAATCCCATGATGCACATGTAATAGTGCAAATTTTAAGCAAACTGACAATGCAATCCTTCTGATCAAGAAAACCATGTTTCCAAACATTACTTTTAAGAGATGAAGCATTTGATTCCTTTTATAAAAATTTTTATTTTGTTTGCCCCTGAGCCACATAGTAGGAAAATCTACTTAACTAAAATCCCTTTTAGGGTTTAGCAGGCATAATTGTCAGATATTTTTGACAAGATTCTATTAAAGCTATCTCATCAGAAATTCTTTCAGCACGTTTGTTAAAGCAGTACTGTTGTAAACTTTAAATACTATCAAAGAACATTAAAGAAAAAAGAAAACTAATTTTCTTTGTACATACCCTTCACTACCTTTACTGCTGTTCCCATCCTTGAGATACATTGAAAAATCTATAACTCCAACCTACAGAGAGAATGTTCAGAATTCAATATAAAATTAGATACTTTTCCCAAGGCATAACACAATGTCTCTTTTTAGGTACTCAAAATAGTATTACGGTCATGACAACTACTAGAAATTTTTGATAAAAATTTAATGTTTTATTATAATCAAGAATTGACGGTTGTAAAGCAATTATACCCCAATAAAGATGTTAAAAAAAAAAAAAAAGAATTGACGGGACTTCCCTGGTGGCGCAGTGGTTAAGAATCTGCCTGCCAATTCAGGGGACACGGGTTCGATCCCTGGTCCGGGAAGATCCCACATGCTGCGGAGCAACTAAGCCTGTGTGCCACAACTTCTGAGCCTGTGCTCTAGAGCCTGTGAGCCACAACTACTGAGCCTGTGTGCTGCAACTACTGAAGCCCATGCGCCTAGAGCCCACGCTCCACAACAAGAGAAGTGACATCAATGAGAAGCCCGTGCAGTGCAACGAAGAGTAGCCCCTGCTCGCCGCAGCTAGAGAAAGCCCGTGCGCAGCAACGAAGACCCAACGTAGCCAACAAAAGAGAAGAAAAAAAAAAGTTGGAAAAGGTAACTTAAAAAAAATGCTGCTCCTTAAAAAAAAAAAAGAATTGGCAAGGGTTGTAAGTAAAGAACCAAGATTAAGTCAGTAGGACATGACTAAGAAAGTCAACTGAATACTTAATATAAATTAAGGTTTAACATTTCTTTCTCTCTTGCTTATTTAAAATATTCTGCTACTAAACCCCTGTGTATATATTTTGGCTTATATGTGTGTACATATACTGGGTTGGCCAAAACGTTTGTTTGGGTTTTTGCATAAGATGCTATGGCAAACACATATACATATGTTTGCCGCTGAACCACATAGCACACAGCATATATATATATATATATATATATATATATATATATATATATTACCCTGTGCAAAATATTTTTAACAGGGATCACAGTTAAGACAAGAATTTGAAAAACATTCATTATGCGTAAATAGGCCAAGCTGGAAGGAAAAACAAACAGATTTTTTATATTCACATCAAAAATAAAGAAAATCCTACTTATGACTCATAGAAGTTCCCCTAATTTGGTTGGTATAATCTGATCAATCCAAATTCTGAGATAACAGAACTCAGAGTGACACACTAGGTAACCAAGTATCTTCCTCATACCTGAGAGTCCAAATCTTCTCCTTTCATACAGAAATTGGCATCAATGACATTCAGACCCACCAACAGACCAGCAATTATGGCTCCCTCTTCTTCCATCATGAGGGCATTGGGTTCATAGAATTCACTGTAAGAGAAATCCATGAAACAGTCTACTGTAATAAAACCTCAAGAATCCAATGATGTAACCACGAGACAAGGAGAAAAGCACTTGCCTCGTGGTTAAATATGGTCATCTATAATAACAGCAAAAAAGTAAAAACAAGGATTACTTGGATACTTTATTTTAGATAATAGGGACATGAACAGACTCTAGATAATAGACAGTCCAGCTGAAAGAAGAGTGATTAGAATGGTATTTTCACTTAAGTGAGCATTCATGCTTCTGCCACATATCTGTATTTGTAATGCACCAGGGGATAATTTTTCAATCTTTCACGCATCTTAAAAAACCCGATTAGTTTGTTTTTAAAAAACTGCCTTTTTTCTGATCCGCTTTATTTTTTAATTTTAATTTTATATATATTTTTAAATTTTTTATTTTATATTGGAGTATAGTTGACTTACAATGTTATGTTAGTTTCAGGTATACAGCAAAGTGATTTAGTAATACATATACTGTATTGTTGTATGCAATAATAGTTCATTCACTTTCACCACTGGACAGTATTCCATGGTAGGGATATACCACAATGGATTCATTCTATTTGCTGTTTCAGTTGTGCAGGCTACAGTGCTTTGCTGAACACTACTGCACATGGGTTTGGGTACATATACGCATGCATTTCTGTTAGACATACCTAGGGTGTGAAAGTGCTGAGTCAAAGTAAGTGAAAATATGTATTAAAAAGTGTTCCTGGGCTTCCCTGGTGGCGCAGTGGTTGAGAGTCCGCCTGCCGATGCAGGGGACACGGGTTCGTGCCCCGGTCTGGGAAGATCCCACATGCCGCGGAGTAGCTGGGCCGGTGAGCCATGGCCACTGGGCCTGCGCGTCCGGAGCCTATGCTCTGCAATGGGAGAGGCCACAGCAGTGAGAGGCCCGCGTACCGAATAAAAAAAAAAAAAAAAAAAAAAAAAAAAGTGTGCCGTCTAGTTCGTAAGACTGAATGCATTTACTCTAGTGCTCTGCTGGATGAAGAGCTAATCCTTCAGACCCCAGTTGAATCATATAATTTTGTAGCCGCCTACAGCTTGAACACTAGACCCTACACCACTTTAAGGCTTGATCCTTGGAAAGTAGAGCCTTCCCCTTGTGGAAATAAATAAGCTCTCCAGAATGGTTACTGTTTCTCTTTCTCCTGATTTGTTTAATTTTCTTAGGCAAGAAAACAGCAATCAATGGCACACGCAGCTGCAGCAACATTAAAACAATGCTCCATGTTAGGATCTGCAGTGCAATTTTTTGTAAAAACTAAGCTCTTGAAAAATTCATCCATGTCTTTAAATTCTCGATTATTTATTCTTCTTACAATATTTCTCAGAGGCAGTCTGCTATACTTGAATTTCTTTCAGTAAATATTAATGACCTATAAAGTATACATAAAAAAGTACACAAATCATACAATACAGTGGAATGAGTTTTTACACAGAGAACACACCTATGTAAACCAGCACTATATTAAAAATCAGTACATTATCAGAACCTCCAAAGCCACCTTGTGCTCCCTTCTACTCCGCATTTACTACCCATACCCTGCCAATGGTAGCTCTTTCCTGACTTCTATCATGAAAGATAAATTGTGTACGTTTCTGAGCTTTATATAAATGGAATAATGCGGGATGTATTTTTCATGTCTGGTTTCATTTGCCCAACATTACACTTGTGAGATTAATTCATATGGCTGTGTGTAGCTGCTATATGGTATTTCATTGTATGAGTATACCATAATTTACCTACCCATTCTACTGTGAATAGATACTTGGGGTCTATTACAAACATTTGGGGCTGGTACAAACATTGTAATAACTATGAACATTCTTGTTCATGTCTTTTGTTGGATATAACTATGCATTTTTTATTGGATATAATAACTAGAAGCAGAATCCCTGATCACAAGGAATGCTCATGATCAGCTTTAATAGAGGATGACAAACAGTTTTCTTAAATTTCTATACCAATTCACTCATCAGCAGGACATTAAAGTTACTTCACATCCTCACCAACACCTGGGATTACCTGTCTTTTTCATTTTACCCATTCTGGTGGTTGTGTGAGGTTATCACACTCTTGTTTTGACTTGAATTTACAACATGGCTAATGAAGTTAGGTATCTTTTAATATTTTTACTGGCCATTTCAATTTCTTCTTCTGTGAGAGGCTTGTTCAGGTCCTTTACCCAATTCTGTCTTTGCTCGTCTGCCTTTTTCTTTCTGGACTGACGGAGTTCTTTATACACCATGAGTATGCATAATTTGTTGAATATATGTATTATGTATTGCAAATATCTCCTTTAGAGTTATCGGTTGCCTCTCACTCTTAATCTCAAGAGTGACTTTTGATGGACAGAAGTTCTTCATTTTAATGTAACCAATTTAGCCATTTTTTCCTTCACAGGTAGAACTTTTTGTGTTTAAGAAATTTTTGTCTCCTGTATGTTTCTTCTAAAAGCTTTATTGTTTTCTCGTTCCCATTTGTACCTATGACCCAACTGGAAATTTTTTTGTGTGCTGTATTTGAATTTAATGTTACATGTCAACTTCCTGTCTTAGTGAGCCTGGGTATATGCTAAGGTGTCAAAAGCCTTCCCTGTTTTCTAAAGGTGTTAAGTTTTGACCTGTCCTGCAAAGGACCATACATATGCCACAGAAGACAGTGTGAACACACTTAATATAAAAACAACTATGCTTGCGTATGTGTGTGTGTGATGTGGGAGAAGGTATTAGCTGAGCTATGTGAAATTGTCATGAATCGAATGTTTCTGACCCCCCAAAATGATAAATTTATATGCGTCAGCCTCATATGATATAGAACATGGGGAGAAAAAGAAGGAAGCTCAACGAGAAGATCTTCATACCTGAGAAGTTCCTTCTTATTGATCAGAGCTTTCATATACTCTGAAAGTTTCTTTTGCATCAATGCCAAACGAAGCCAGGCTCTTCCTCTGCCTACTGGTGTCCTACAAAAACACAGAAACCAACTAAAAGTAGCAGAGCTGGAGGCCACAGTGGGACAGGTCCATTAACTCCCACTAACGGGCCCCCCCAGTATAAGGTGCACAGGACGTGCCCCTCACAGCCTCTCCCACCACACCCCGGTGGGAGGACTTCTGTGTGGGCCAGTGGGAGCCAGGGGTGTGTTTGGGACAAATGCTCTCATGAGGAATTAATTACTGAATGAGACTATGATTTGAAGACAAGACCTCTGGAACGTCAAACTGAAAATGCTCCATCAGACTAGTTTTGGTAAATCCTCATAAATTTAGTGTGGATCATGTAAGGACGCGAATAACAATAATCAGGACACAGGCCACTTAGACCTCTACTTGATTACAATTAGACCAATCTAATTTGGGAAGGTGATTACCACTCTTTTTCAAGTCCCAAGGCAGGTTCCGGGTGTCAGATCCTGAGGCTCACTCGACAACTGTTTTAATCTTGGTTCTCATCAAACACATTGTTTGTCTTAAGTCCAACACGCCACCTCCCTAGATCTAACGTCTTGAGACTCACTAGTTGATACCCACAAGTGTTTTTTAAAAAAAGAGAACATTTGGTATTTTAACATGAAGACAACCTTTCTTAGATTAATAATAATTATCCCTCACACTTCTCATTATTTTACGCTACCAGTTCTCTCGTAACATCACTTATTCATAATAGCATTTTGCATTTTGGACTGTTATGAAATAAATTATTACGATCACCGTTGTCTTTAGTCTCACTCCTAAAGGAGGTAGTTAAGAAGAATGTTTTCCCTGACACACAGAAGTGAACCTTAAACTTACTTAAGTCCTGGAAGGTCTTTAACACTTGCTGTTATCTCTGCAGCTTCTGGAACAAGCTTTTCCACCAGTTCTAGAGGCCCCCAGAAGGATTTATTTTGTCCAAGAAAAGTTTTCTTAGCTAAGGCGATAAAAACAAAGCAATATGTTAATATTTTTCACAACATAAACACACTCTCAACACACACATACCCTCTCCCATCTATTCAGTGCGCTTTTCTGGGAATTAATCCCAGGTTATCAGACAGTTCTAAAATTATTCATGCTTTCATAATACATAACATTTCATAAAAATCAAAAATCCCCTACTTTCCAAGACTCGGTCCTTCCTCCTTTAGGAAGAATTTATGGACTAGCTGTATAATAACGATAAAATATTTTAACAATATCATGCTTAAAGCCGTGTGGTATTAGTGAAGAAAACAGTCCAGGGGAAAAGAATATGTAATCCAAGAACAGGTTATCAAAGATTGGAGCAGGAGGAGGAAAAGAAGCCAAGGTGAACAAGACCAGGTCCCGTCCTCAAAAGCTCACAGTTGGGCTTCCCTGGTGGCGCAGTGGTTGAGAGTCCGCCTGCCGATGCAGGGGGACACGGGTTTGTGCCCTGGTCCGGGAGGATCCCGCGTGCCACGGGGCTGGGCCCGTGAGCCATGGCCGCTGGGCCTGCGCGGCCGGAGCCTGTGCTCCGCAACGGGAGAGGCCACAACAGTGAGAGGCCCGCATACCGCACAAAAAAAAAAAAAAAAAAAAAGAAAAAGCCTCTTATTCTTTGGCTCCACCAGGAATGCTTCTCTTCTGGAGCATGTATTGCTAGGAAACAGACGTGTGCACATTTGTATTTGGAGGCTATGGTCTACCTTTCAAGCCATGTTTCAGGCAGTGCTCCATCACCACAAAGAACTGCTGGAGAGGTGCGTAGTCAGAGTCCAGAGTTCTCCCTAGGTTCAGAGCAGATTCAATCAAGCCCTTGATACTCAGCTTGGCCATGTTCATCAGGTTCATGCGTTCGTTAGCCATGAGATAATTAGGATCTGCAGCCAAAGGAGAAAAGGATGAAGCCTGGTTACTGGAAATAGCGCATTAAAAAATTCAGTATAAGTTCACTGTGTTGACATTTGCATTGATGGCGCAAAAGCAAGAGCGGGTAAGACTGTTGGTGTCTCGGCAAGAATCAAGGCCTTGGCACCAAATTACACTATTAGTTGTTGTATTCTTCTCCACCATGTGCTTTGCTTTAAAAAAAAAAAAAAAAAGGATGCCAGTCTCCCTTAGGAATATTCTTGGTGAAACAGTAAAAAATGCATTTATTTTATAAAATTTTGAGCCTTGAGTACAGTCTTTTAATATTCTCACCACTGCCTCTGTTACCAGCCTAACTTGGGTCCGTCACAACTCAGTACTGCACAGCCTTCACACTGGGCTGCTTCCACCCTTGCCCTGCCTCACCCATTCTCTACAGCTTGTGAAGCGCTCTAAAAAATAAAGCCGGGCTTCCCTGGTGGCGCAGTGGTTGAGAGTCCGCCTGCAGATGCGGGGGACGCGGGTTCATGCCCCGGTCCGGGAAGATCCCACATGCCGCGGAGCGGCTGGGCCCGTGAGCCATGGCCGCTGAGCCTGCGCGTCCGGAGCCTGTGCTCTGCAATGGGAGACGCCACAATAGTGAGAGGCCCGCGTACCGCAAAAAAAATAAAATAAAATAAAAAAATAAAGCCAATGTAGAGAAAAAGGGTAAAGCGCTTAAACTTTGTTCCAAATACGCTATGTGCATTATTAGTATTTATACTAGTTAGCATTATTATTTAAACTAAGCATTACTAAATGAACTAAAAATAATTAACATTATTAGTATAATGAAGTACTAGAACTTAATCAACTCCCTGATTTTTTAAGACTTAACATAGAGCACGTGGCTCTCATCAACCAAATAAACTCCCTGAGGAAAGGGACTAAGTACCACATTTTACCTGACATCCTCCCCAAAGTTAAATGTGTTAAATTTCTATACGAATTGAAAAAGGCCTAGAGATCTATGAAATATTTTACCTTTTTTAGGAGGACTAAAAGTAGTACTAATAAAAGCCATGCTCCCGTAATAGAAACAATCTACAGTGCAAAGCAGAGATTATTTCATTCAAATTGTCCCAAGTAATTTTCTTCACACAGTGTTTTCATTTAGATATGCATTCACAGTTAAATGAAGCAGAATCAAATAGTCAAATTCTAAGCTCATCTTCTCCATTAAGTTTAAGGACTTGTAGGTGTACAGTGCCCACTATACAAATCTTGGTTTGTTGTAGTGTTCTCTGAGGTAATAATTTTAGAGGATACTTTATTAGGAAAGTCAGAATTGGTGTATGTTGCCACTAATTCTCTCTTGCACACCAACAAATGTTTTAGGGCCATGCCTCAAATCTGGCTCTCTCAGTTCATTGTAGGTCAACTTGTCAAGAATGGAATAAACCCACAAGGGACATTGAAATACACAAAAAACTAGCCCCTGACAAACCGCCATGAAGAACAACTTTATCAGATATTAATTTCCAACATTATTATCAGCATTTATGTGCACTGTACTGTTTCCGACCTTCTACAATCCCTGGGAGAAAGGAATAGGGCAGGGGTGTGTGGGTATGCATGAACATTTGTGGAGAGATACTGGATTCTCCATTTAACATAAGAAAATGTGGCTGAAGTTGGATTAACTGGCAGTCCATAAGGTACCACTCCCTCTGCCTTACGTCTGTTGACCAATAATTCAGGGAGCTAATAACAAAATTAAGCAATGCTCCTAGTCAAAGTAAATAATCTAATTCCAACCTAGTGAGAACTAGTCACGTGGGAGAGCTGGATCTGGAAAATGTACAAAACACGATGCTTTGAGGCATTTTTCCAGAAGTGGTGGTACTCTTCTATATTGCCTCATCTCGTTCTTGTAATCAGTAGCAGAAATGTTTAGGACATCTGGTCAGTGGCTGGGATGCATTAAACTACAGAAAGATGAACTACTGCCTAGGGAAATTAAATTCCCGATACCTTAGACTCCATTAGTATGGTGCTATAACCTATTTGAACTAACCTGCATCAAACATAAACAACCCACCCATTCTTTAGAAAATATTACTCTCAGCCTTGGCATTACTAATATTTTGGGTCAGATAATTCTTTTTGTGGGGGGCTGTTCTGTGAATTAAATTTAGCAGCAACCCATGCCTTTACCCACTAGATGTCAGGAGCATGCTCTAGTCATGATAACCCCAAATATCTCCAGATATTGCCATAAGTCCCATGAAAGACATCTCCTACCTGTGGAGAACTAGTACTCTAAACAAATGAAAGAAAGTCAAACAAAATTCAGGGTAATTTGACAACTAGACATAAGCGCTCAAAAGAATGTACTGCTCATTATTAATTGTTTAATTAATGCAAAAGTTCAATAATTATTTAATGCTTACTATTATCAAAGTGGTGTGGCACGGCCAAAAAAAAAAAAAGATTTTGTGGAACTAATGTATGCTGTTTGTTTGGCTGGGGTTTTTTGGGTGCACCATGCGGCTTGCGGGATGTTAGCTGCCTGCCTAGGGATTGACCCATGCCCCCTGCAGTGGAAGTGTGGAGTCCTAACCACTAGACTGCCAGGGAATTCCCTGTATGCTGTTAAAAAGGGAAGGGCTGCAGTGACCAAAAGAGAGCATGGGGGGACTTCTGAGGGGCAGGTAAAGTTCTCCTTTTGATGGGATGTTAGTTTTGTGAAATTGGTGAGTATGTGAAAATTCATTGAGCTGAGTACTTATAATGTGTGATCTTTTTAATATACTTTACACTTTTAACTATAAAAAGCTTTAAAAAGTTCCGTTTTATTATATAGACCAGAAAATTATTTTAAAGTGCAGGACTTTTACAATGTTGTCTGTCATACTTTTTCTATGAGAAAAAGAATTAAAATTGCAATTATTCACAATGCTAACATTTAACACTATTTTTCCAAAAGTGAACTTTTGTTCATTCATTCATTCATTCATTTTTTTCAATAAATATTGAACATCTACTTGGTGTTAGATACTGTATTTAATGCTGGGAATCCAGTGATAGAAGACCTAGTCCTCGACATCCAAGTGCTTATTATTTATCAAACTTGGGTTATACAGATGTCTGGAGACCAAAACAGGGCAGCTTAAAGAGAATACTTGAAACTTCAGGATAAACATTATCATCTTCAACAAAGATTAATTTTATTTCAGGACAAATAAATTAAAATGTTTTTATGTTAAGCCATATATATGCATTCTATGGAATCACATGTAAATTTTATACATATTTTTAAGGCTAAGATAGTAGATATGAAAGTAATGTAGGATTTCAGGCAAGCTGCGAGGCCAATACAATTTCCTCTGCCATTGGATGTATTCTGAGGGAAAGTTTAAGAAGTGTCCATTACCCATGGCTATTACTTAACATTGTACTGAGGGTGGAAGACCAATGCAATTAGAGAAGATAAAGAAACTGGAGACATATAAACTGTAAAAGTGTGAATCATATATTACTGCTCTCATACAATCTGATTTTACACCCAGAAAAAATCAAAGTAAACTAAAATTTTTACAAAAACATAATAATTCACAGAGGTAGCAGAATACAAAATTAATATATAGAAATCACCAGGTGCCAAATACAGAGGATGAGACTTTTGAGCTCAATCTTAAAGGACAAAGAGAAATTAGTCAGGCCAGGAAGGGTTAGGAGTAGAGCTGTGAAGGGAGTAGGATGGAAGGACAGCTTGGGTAAAAGAACAGAAATATGAAAGAACATGGCATACTAAGGAAAACCAAGAAAATGCCGTAAGTTTATGATACATGTGAGTAAGGGTTGTGAGATAAGACAAGGGAAATAGGTAAGGGAGAGATTGCTAAGGACCTTGTTTAAGGAATATGGATTTTACCTTAAAGTCAGTAAAGATTTTGATGTGAGGTGTAATGTCACTGATTTGAATTTTAGAGAAGCCATTCTAGCAATCTTGTGGAAGATGGATCGAAAAGGAATAAAATCTCAAAGCTGGGGAGCAAGTAAGGGTTTACCACAAAAGCTGAGGAGGAAAATTATAATATGGGATGGAATTGGAGCAGTGTGTGCTTGTGGAGAAGACGGAGTTAGCTCTGAGAGATGTTCTAGGGGTAGAATGTTAGGATTTCAGGACTTGATCACCAGCTGGACTGAGGGAAGGAGGAAACAGAATGGAGAGCAACTTCTGTGTTTCTAGTTTTGGTGATTATTTGATCGGACGGTGGTACAAATCACCTTGGTGGGAAACATTGTAGGAGCAGTGGACTAAAGAAACCATGTAGAAATGACTGTAGTTATAATAAACCATATTGGTTTTCAAAGTCCTTTTAAGAGCGTATGGGTCTTCATTACACCTCTTCAAGGCTGCTAATTTCCATATGAGGAAATTCTAACAAACTTTACAGAGTTATGTGGTTCATCTAGTCAATAGTGATGACAAAAATGGACCCAAAGTCCATTTGGGTCTAAGAGCAACAGTGAGTCACACTGTTCTACAAACCAATCATCTAACCAAGACCCTATTTTATCTCCTTATAGTGCAGTGACTAAGGTTCATACCAAGAAATATTGAAATGTTTTATGAATAATTGAAGGAAAAGTACGTTATCTTTAACATTATGTTAATATTAAGTATGTTACATCATACCCAATTCTTGGTAAAGTGGGAATAATTCATAGGTAGCACAACAGTTATTTTTATCTTAATGTGAAACAAAACAGTTGTCCTACAGAAATTTCCCAATGATACCTGAAAGCATTAATATGAAATTTAAAATGAACAACTAATAGAAAGATATTGAAAGGAAAGCTTATTTGATGTTCAGAATGACTGAAGACCAATGATTCCTAAATAAATCTACTTTGAACTTTTGCTGTAATAGTTCTTAGAGTATAAAATTAAGCATAAAATGAGTTGTCTGTGATAGTAAAAGAAATCAATGAAAGTACTAAAAAGATCTTTAATAAAACACCA